GTATATGGATGGAACTCTAGAACTACTGGCCATCATATTCCCTTGACACACTGAGGTTCCTGAGAGAATAAAACCAAAATTAGGATAAAGATGGACAATCTTGATTCTCCTCAAGTTCTTAATTCCAGTCAACCCTGGAGTCAACGCTAGCCCTTCTTTCCCTTGTGTCAGTTAGATAAGCAAGTAAATTCCTCTTTTTTGTTTATGCTATTTTTTAGCTAAGTTCTATCACTTACAACCTGAAAAAGTCTTAATACAAAATCTCACAATTTCTTACATGCCAAGGTCATTAGCAAAATAGTAAGACTAATGGCACTGCTATCTGCTATCGACTGAACTGTCCCCCTAAAATTTTCTTTTTCATGGTTTATGATTTATTAAAAGTAAAATTGATTGCATACTGAAATAGTCAGAGACCTGTGAATAAATAATCTAATTAGCAAATTCAATATTTTCTGATAGGGCAAATTTATCCTATAAGTACACTGCAAAAGTATAAACCCTCTCCTAGTAGCCTTTTTTTTGTTGTTAGTTTCAGGCATACAGAACAATGCAATAGTTATCCTTTTCAGACAGGATACTGTCTGACCCTTCTGACAGAAACTGGAAATGGAACTACCTTATGACCCAGCAATTCCACTCTTAGGTATTTATCCAGAAAAACCCAAGACATTAATTCGAAAAAATAATATGCACCCCTATGTTCACTGCGGTGCTATTCACAATAGCCAAGATTTGGAAACAACCGAAATGCCCATCAGTAGATGACTGGATTAAGAAACTATGGTACATTTACACAATGGAGTATTACTCAGCTATACAGAAGGGAATAGTTCCATTCACAACGATATGGATGGACCTAGAGAACATTATGCTAAGTGAAATAAGTCAGTCAGCGAAAGACAAATACAATATGATCTCACTTATACGTGGGTTCTAAAAAACTGAATGAGAAATGTAAACAAATAGTCCCAGAGACACAGAGGAAAAACTGAGCGTTGCTAGTTGGGAGGGGGTGGGGATGAAGGGGAAGGGGAAGGGACGAGACAATACAAATTGGTAACTACAATATGGCCTCAGGGATAGAAAGGACAGTCTGGGGAATATAATCAGTAATGTTGTAAATATTTTTTAGGGGGCCAGATGGACTTATGTCTTGTTAAAATTCTTATATTGAAGCCTTAACCCCCCATCCGACTGTACTGGAGATAGAGCCGTTATTAAGGTTAAATGAGGTGATTAAGGTTAAATGAGGTCATAAGGGTGGAACCTTAATATGACAGAAGTGGTGCCCTTTTAAGAAGAGGAGGAGACAACAGAGCGCTCTTGTAGCCATGTGAGGACACAGAGAGAAGGCAATTAGTTATCTGCAATCCAGGAAAGTCCTCAGCAGAACCTGACAGCATGCCTGGCACCATGATCTCGGACTTCCTGCCTACAGAACTATGAGAAAATCTATCTGTTGTTTAAGCTGCCTGGTCTATGTTTTGTTATGGCAGCCCAAGCAGACTAATACAGGCACTCAGTATAACTCCCCAAGTACCAGTTACTACTAGTTCCTTCTTCAGGGTGAAGCAGGCCCTGATTAGTAAAAATAATGATATATTAACCTTTTATTATTCTGTTCCCATTCCAGATTTCAGCTTAGACTGGAGTAGCTTTTCAATTGATTTTCACATCTTTAAAAATAACAAAAAGATAAGCCCAGCTATCTTTGATTTCACTATCAATTCAAGAGCATTACAATAATATACAATAGAAAAAAAGTGTTTAGTGAGATTAAGCAACTTGAATTATATTACTAGTAATGGGGGGAGGTTATAAATCACACAGTTAAATTCAAGTATTAATCCTTTTAATTTTTCATACTTTACTCTGTGTATCAATAGGTTAAGAAAGTAAATTTTTCATAAGTACTGATTTATAGATAATGTTCAGAAGTGGCACACAAGATATTCAGTTTCACAAAGAGTAATAGTCAGTGATCCCTTTAAATGCAATTTTAATCCTTATTTTAGGATAAGTACAATAATAATTTATTGTAATACAATAAGATAGATACACACAAAACCTGTATATCCTGAATTATTGTACAAAAGTGGTTTTCCTAGCCACATATGGTTTTGGTCAAGCACACATTTCCACAGCAAACAAGTACTAACAAATGTTAATAAAACACTACCCCAAATGCTTATCCTGCCATCAGCTTTTTTTTTTTTTTTTTTTTATTAGGGAATTGGGGGAAGGGGAACAGATAAGTTGCCGTCTTTTTGTTCTTCAGTCTAGTTGTGGAGGAGGTTGCTTCACTGGCCCAAGTCGGAACCATCATTGTGCTCTTCCCGAGCAAGGCAGATCAGTTGCCGGCTTCTGGACGGCCGCTCACGGCGGCTTGAGGACCGCTCACGCTGGCTGCTGGTTACACATGGTAGCACATGGGCAACCCACTGCAGCAGGCCTACTTCGGTGCCGGCAACTCACAGCAGCCCAGCTCCAGGTCGAGCTGTTGTTCAGCATCTTAGCTGTAGAGGGCAGTGTCACTGGCCCTCATATGTGGGATCCAAACNACATGTTTAATTCTCTCAGCTGAGGCGCCAAGGATTCTTATGCTTCTCTCAAACTGTTGCCAACACTGGCCATTCCTGAGAGGCTGATTCCACATGAACTGATATATTTTCTCAGGATTTGTAGCTTGTGAAAGGGGAGGAGTGTGTAGGACACAGTGAAATTGTTTTAAGGGAATGCCTATTTTGGGAATAAGGTAATCTTGTTAGTCCCAGGACCTTGGCTTTCTCTCGTCAAGGAGGAAGCAGTTGAGGTTATCATCTTGATAGTATATCACACTGTGCTTCTTGGAGTTCTCTGGTGGGATCACCTGTCCCAGACTCGATTAGTACCAAAGGTTTCCTTTTCTTCTTGTAACAGTGTACTCCTTGGATGGGATTCTCGTGTTTGGTTTGCTCTTTGTTTGTACCTGTGCCTACTTCAAGAAAGTTCCTCGTCTCAAAACCTGGCTGCTGTCAGAGAAGAAGGGAGTTTGGGGTGTGTTTTACAAAGGTAAGATTTTATCTGCACAGGAAGAGGAGATTGCCATCTCTGGACAGTGAGGTGCTGCAAAGTGGCGGATGAGATAGACTAGGATTGTATTTGGTTCCACTTTTACATAATTGTTTATTTTAGCGTCAAGGTAATTTTGATATCCTCCGTGGAGTAAAAGTATATAAATTAAACATTTTAGACTTGACTGGAATTGTTGGGAGGAATATTTTCCCAATGAAAAGTTTTTCTGAATTTCTGGAAAGAATATATTGGAGTATCTTTTGTTTTGATTTCATTAAATCAGATGATTTTTTACTTTTCATTTTGGGCACCTTTATCTGGAATCCCACCTACCTAAATCTGTTTTCAAAATAGGGCAAAATATAAACAAACAGTATATTCACCTAGGACCTAGAGCTTAAGAGCAGTATTTAAATACATCCCTGGGTCTGTTCTTGAGATCCTTGATAGGTCTCTACATCTGTGACTAGTGATTTCAAAGTATCACCTTGAAAGTGAGGACATATATGAAGGGCAGGCTGTGATTTCTTTTCTCTTTTTACTTTTGCCTGCTAGCTGCTGTGATTGGAACCAGGCTGCATGCTGCTGTGGCAATCGCCTGCGTCGTCATGGCCTTTTACGTCCTGTTTATAAAATGAATTCTAAAGCATCCATCTCATCAACTGCCAACCAAGGGGACAAAGGTGAAGAACCTGTTGGTGGCCTGAGCCCAGCGTAGGAGAGCTCAGCTAAAATCTTGGAAGTCCCCAGTATGACACCACAGCACCTGTCCCCACCATATGCAGGGAAAACTCCTTGTGGTTGCAAACATTGTTTATGCTTCAGGGGACTCCAGAAAGCCAACCTCCTTTGATCTGTGTGTAAATCAATCCTCGGCAGAGAGCATATAATATCCAGATAAATTATGTCCCTCGGCAACATTTCATACCTCCTGTGTAAGAACCTGTCACATATTTTATTCCACAGCCCTCATCAGGATCTTTTCAAACTGAGGCTCATTAGGGAAGGACATAAGCTGTGTTCAAATCTCTTGGAAGGAGATAATTTTCAGGACTTGACTTTTGTTTTTTATTGTTTGATTTGGATTTGGCAAATTGGCGGGGGGTGGGGAGACTGGGTAGGAAACAGGAGTTATGTACGATGCCAAGAAATTTTTTGGCTTTGGACATTCATCTTTCATATACCCATCTGGGAACATAAGAGAGAGGCATGGTCCTCATTGCAAAAAAAGAACAGATGAAAAAGCTGTGCTGTGTGTGGGGAGCTGGAGAGTTTTGCCAAGAGAATCTGGGCTACATAAGATTTGGGAGTTACCTGTCTGTAATGAGACCAGAAAGCAGTAACTCAGACAAGAAAAAAATGTTCTGTTCACCAGTATCCCCCAAAAGGAGACTTTACTCCATCAAATGGTATATAGAAAATGAATCCACTTGTTATTTTCCTAAAGCCTTTTTATATTTTGTCAATTACTGAGTGCTAAATACTGTTACTCAGTTTTAAATGCCACCACTAGGGGAAGGAAACAAGTGAAGAAACAATTGTTTAATATATTTGCAGTCGTAGAAGAAATAAATCTAGTATATTAATTCATATACTAGTAAAGTCATCTAGTATAAGAATTTATTGTGATGTTAGAAGTTTTTTCATGTTACCTAAGATACAAACTTATTTGTTTAAACCTGGGTCATTATGGCAATTTTTAGTTGATTACTTGTTTTTCTTGGCCAGCTCTTTCTTAATTTTCTTCATATTTCAGTACTCTTTAGCTGTCTCTTGGAAATATAAGAACATGAGAAATTTGAGTAAGTGAAAGAAGTTGCTGATATTCATAGGCATGTTTGGGCAGTTCATTGAATCCATGAATAAAATGAGGGTGTTTCTAAAGTAAAGGAAAACAAAGGTTTGCAACTGAGATTGATGGCTTTTCCGTGGAGTATGGTAACTCCTGAGCAAATCATATTAGATGACTCAACATTTAAAGGGAAGACTTCCCCATTCCCTCCTCCTTATAGCTGCAAAAGAATCAACTTACATTTATGAAGCCTAAAACTTGGTTATTTAAAAAAAAAGTTGGTTTAAAATTAAATTATTGTAAAAAGCAAGCATGGACATAGGTCTACCAGTTGAATTGTCCATTAAAGTAAAACTGGACTGTGGACAAGTTAGCTGTGGTTTTACCCCTGTGTGGCAGTAAACGGTCTTTTGTCTTACTCCAAAAGAATGAAGGCTGCTAAGAAGTTTAGGTTCTGAAATAGGCAGTTCGGTGCTTTTCTAGAAGTATAGAAAGTCATCAAGTAAACACTACATATCTGATCATCTCAGAGTTGTGGCTGTTCCCTCTTCAGGATTGGTCCACAGGGTAAATTTCAGTGATTCATATGTTTTCCATGGTCATTTCTGAGGCTCTTTCGCATGAGAGAAAGGAAAGCTATTGGAATGGGAAGAAGAGTTACACCGCATGGGCGTGAGTTTGGGACCTGTTGGCCAAGCGGACTGTCACTCCCTGGAAATACAGGTTCAGCATGTTTGCACTTGTTATTTTGTAGCTTTAATGACTTGTTTTCTAATAGGGCTAATTTCTCTTAAGTTTGGTGCTTAGAGCTGCTTCATAGTTTAAACTAGTTCCATTTCACAATAATAGTTATTCAAGCAATTTTTTACAGCCTCCTGGGTGGGTTATCTTGACCAAACTCTTGAATTGTTATATTTTGAAATGTTTTCATACCAGAATGTACCAAAAAGTGCACAGAGTGAAGGTAATTTACAGCAAGCAACAAATACACATCTTATTTCATTTGACTTTATGTAAACAGATAAGCAGAAACCTGTTTAACTCATTACTTTGCTTGATGTGTCATATATTTTTGACTGAAAATTGTAGAAGTTGTTCCCCTAAGAGAATTTTTTAGGGTGGAAGAATGGGGATAACAATTATCGCCTCAGATTCAAACTGGCATCACCATAAACCCTATATGCCAGGGTGGAAGGAAGTCAGCTTTTTATAGTTGAAATACAATTTTTTATTCACCATGGTCTGCACAAATCCTTGAAAATAAAAACTGCTTTCCCTACCGTTTTTGTCCATTTTATTTGTCACTTGCTGAATTTATTGAACTTTGATCAGTACTCTCTTGGGTTATGCCCATAGTATACCTTTTTAGTTTATATCAGCGAACACCATCATTCATGTTAACCCCTTGTGATGGTCTGAATGTGTGATATAGTTCAGAATCTTTGAGTGTAGCTTTCTCCTTTGGGGGAGCTGATATATATGTATATATATCAGATTATACTGTATATTTCAGCATATATGTACATATATAAATAAATTTTGAGGTATATTAAGTGGGGTAAATGATACAAATACATTTTACATACTACTGCTATTAAAATACAAGTATCATCTGCCATTACCAGCCATAAACTTAATTCAAGTGGCATCAGGTTAACCAGCCATGCACCTAGAAAATTTTTGACCCAGAGAGACTCTGACACATACACTGGATACTTTTCCTTTATGTGTTTATTCCAACCGCGTGATGACACTGGCACAAGTACAAATATAACTCCACAAATCATTTTCTACTAATGCCCCAAATTCTAATTTTTCTTTTCCCACACATACTTATTTCATTGAAAAAGGAGAAAGAAGGAACTGAGACATTAAAATTGTGTTCAAAGGAGCTAGTTCGACTTGTATAATCACTCCTGTTTTTCATTTTACTCATTCTGAAGTTTGAAAGTGATGTTTTAATGGATATGAAAGTAAATGATGATTCAGCAAGATGATTGCCACAGCACCAAGTTTAGGGAGCAAGAGGGCTCTATGTACATGGAGACAGGGATTTGTCTTCTACCTTTACTCATTTCACAGATATCCTGACTACCTAATCCTTGATTTAAATAATCTATCTGTTCTCACCTTTCCGTTTGGTAAAATGATGTTTGCTTTCTCCCTGTTGAGAAGCTGATGTTAGTAATGACCAGGATCTGCCTTCTTCATGGGAAAGGAATCATTCATCTATAAATCCCCTGAGATTGAATCATCTTATACCCAGTACTTGGCTCAAAGAAAGACTATAGACATGGATAGGAATATATAGTGGCACAAAGACAACCACGATTCACTATTGTGGGAATTGGTCCCCTCTCCTTGGGAACCTGGGTTCCCCTCCGAGCCACGCGAGGGCAGCAAAGCACGCACGCGACGAGGGCCTGGACTCGTTTGTTCCTCCCAGAATCCTCCGAGGCAAGGAGGGGTTTAAAAGAGGGTGCGGACTTCCGCTCTTTTACGGGCGGGAGAGCGGCGTGGGGTGAGGGTTGGTTGTGCTGTGTGCTGTGTGGCGGTGTCGCGTGGAAGGCGCGTGCGAGCCGAGTGTGAGTGAACGTGTGAGTGTGTGAGCGCGCGTGAGGCGTGCAAGGTGAGTGCGTGCACCCCCCCCCGCTTCCCTCCCCCCGCCTACACATTGATCTTATTTGATCGGGTTGTGACCCCAGCCCCGCCGGGCTGACCCGAAATGAAAAGCTCTCCTCCTGCGAAGCCCCCTCCTCGGGGCGCTGTGCAGCGAGGCCCGTTGGGCGGCGGCAACGCCGCGGTCCCGGAAGTCCCGGAGCTGGTCCTACGGGGCGCGGCGCTCAGAGGTGATGAATTGATCAGATAGACGAGGCCGGGCTTGTCCTGGGCCGCTGATTATCGAGGCGATTCTGATCTGAGCCCGGCCCCAGGGCATGGCTGCCCGTGGCGTGGGGCTAATGTGTTTGCGGTCGGCTGCGGGCGACAACGGAAGGTGAATGAGCTGTCACCTTGCCCGTGGGAGCGGGAGCTGGAAGGGGACGGAGGCCTTGCGCTTCCCTCGACGCCTCCCTTTCTTTAGGCCTGCCTGGTCATAATGACTGTATGGTACCCACACTTGGGCCCCCTGGCCTAAAGGCACTATACAGCATCTGCCTCAGAGATATGGACATGTATGCATGGCGACATGTGTATATTTATCTCCATAAAAGAAGTTGGAGAGTGTTTAAGAATTCAGATTCCAAGGACCCACCCCAGATTTACTGAATTAGAATTATCAGGGAGGCCTAGGAATCTATATTTTTAAAAGCAGCAATGCATGAATCACAATAACACTTTTTTTTTAGATCTTATTGGGGAATTGGGGAAGGGGAACATTGTGTTTTTCCAGGACCCATCAGCTCCAAGTCAAGTTGTCCTTCAATCTTAGCTGTGGAGGGCACAAGCTAAGCTCCAAGTCACCACTTTCAATCTAGTGGAGGGTGGTGCAGCGCACCATCCCATGAGGGAGTTGAACTGGCAACCTTGTTAAGAGCACATGCTCTTACCAGCTCAGTGGCAGCTCAGCTCTGGCGCAGCTTACTGGCCCATGTGGGAATTGAACCGACAACCCTGTTGCTCAGAGCATGCGCTCTAACCAATTGAGCCACCTAGCTGGCCCCAGAATAAACTTTTTGACGGTCAGTATCAAGCTGCATGTGACTATCCCTTCTCTGCCATTTTCAGCCATTCTAAATGAGAACTGAAACTTCATAGTGCCACTTGTCAGCAGATGTTATCTGAATAGATTGGAGTATCTCTGGAAGAGGGTCTGTGATAGTTTGATGGTATTTAAGGACCCTACACCGGAGTACCAGGAAGAAGACTTTTTCTCTCTGGATTATTCAACAATACATATGCTGTTCAAATGCAGAAATGGGAATTTAGTGTACATACAGTATTCTAGAAAGTCTGCCCTTTCTTGCCCAATCTAACAGCAGGTTCCTATCAATGACTTGTTATTCTAGAAACCACATTAATGCATCATTTTTAGGTAACTTCAACCCCAAGCACCAGACTGTTGAGCCATGTTTATAAGAATAGGGGGCTATATATCACAGTACAAACTAACACAAAAGGGATTTATTTCTGGCAAGGAGACAGTAGCAGAGTTAGAGAATCAATAATGGCAAGGAGGCAGGACCAGGGAGATGGAGCCCTCANCCAGTGAAGCAATGTCCTCCACAACTAGACTGAAGAACAAAACGACAGCAACTTGTCTGTTCCCCTTCCTCCCAATTCCCCAGCGCTGTTATCCCCCAATTCCCCAATAAAAATCTTAAAAAAAAAAAAAAGAATAACCAAAGGACTTCAAGGCAATTTACTAGGCTTTTGGTGTAAGTATAAAAAGTGAGCATGTGCATAGAAGTCTCAGTACAACAAATAATATATGAATTGAGATTTTGTACAAAACTTCCAACTGAAACACTTATCAGTCTACTGGTAACATATTAGAAATTTGCTCCTTGCTTTATAGCTTTAGAATTCCATTTATCCAGATACCACACAGCAAAATGGTGTCTCTGCCATGCCTCAAATACAATAGGCGCTTAATAAATATTGGGTTGTCGGAAAAGTCATGACGTATTTTTTTCTATGTTTTTTGTTGCAAAAATGCATCATGACTTTTCTGACAACCCAATACTTGTCTGATATATCACAATGTTGTCCTTGATCCTATTCCATAATGTAACAGTCCGACTAGCTCATGTAGTGTTTACCAGTACCCAGGAAAAGCAGTAGCCTTCAACAACAATTTAACACCTTGCTCACTAGTTATCCACCCCTCAGTCTCTGTTTGTGGTAAGAAGGGAAGCATAGGGGCCCTAAGAAAATCAGGTCTAGAGAATTGGGAATGTTCTGGGATGCAGGCAGAAATCTTTAAAAGTTCTTGGTTTTCAGACACACTATGCAGTGTTGTCAGCTCTTAGGAGCAACTATGAGGCTTTCTTGAAGAACATGGAAGTAAAATTGTCCTCTTTGAATTACCTCTGAGATCAACATTTAAATAAATTAAGAGGAGAAATATGCAGTTGCCTTAAAGCCCACAAACAGACGAGGCTTGGGTGGGTCAGTGGAAGTGAAAACTCCAGCCAAGTTTCTAGTGTTGGTAAAAATCCTGAAGGTAGCTCCCCAGGCAACACGCCCCTCTGCATTGCTTCAGGTCCTGGGAGACATTTTTTCTGTTTCTGCATTAACTTTATCCTTATCTTACCCGATGCTCGAAGGCAATTAATTCATCTAACTCCTCTCATTCTGATTCACCCTCATAATTTTGTTTTAGTTTCCCACACGTGTCTGTCTAGAGAAGGGAAGAATTTGCTGGCCACACAGATGTTTTACATCTGTAAATTGGCATCCATTTTCAAATACTAGTTTTATGAACTTGGTTTCTGTGACCCACCCCAGAAATGGAGGTGCTCTCCAATTGCTTATGAAATCAGTTTCTGAGCCTGCAATACTGGGAATCAAACACTGGACTCCAGTACATTCTCCCAAGTAATGTAACCTCTTGAGGCCTACTGGGACATGGCCAAATGATTCCAGACAACACCTCTCTCCATTGATGAGAAACCAGCTGAACTATTTTCCCGTTGTAAAACTTCTACACTTAGAATATTACAGTTTTTACTTAAGAAAACCAGTTGAAATACAGTAAAACAATTTTGAGTGAATTGTAGATATATATTAGACACTCTGCTTGAGCATCTAACAAACGTGCTAAATAAACGGTATGATTTATTTTAAAGAGAGAGCTTCACTTAAAGTAGGGGAGGCGAGCCATTAAAGATTTTTTAAACATTTATACTTACCAAACAAATCCAATGGGTGACACCTTGTTTCGGTCCTTTTGCAAACAAACTGTGCTAGGCAGAATAACAGCTCCCCAAAGATGTCCGTGTCCTAATTCCCAGAACCTGTGAATATATTACTTTACATGGTAAAGAAGATTTTGCTAGAGTGATTAAGTTAAGGGCCTTGAAACGGGGAGATTAGCCTGGTTTATCCAGGTGGATCCATTATAATCACATAGGTCCTTAAAAGCAAGATCCTTTCCCAGCTGGGGTCAGACAGATGCAACATGACTATCTTTGAGGATGGAAGGGGACCATGAGCCAAGGAATGTAACCCTTAGAAGCTGGAAAAGGCGAGTAAACAGATTTCTCCTAAACCTAGAACATCCAGAAAGGGACATAGCCCTATCGGTACCTAATTTTCTGCCCAGTGTGGCCTGTGTCAGACTTCTGACGTAGAGAACTAGTAAGATAATGAATTTGTGTTGTTTTAAGTCACTAAATTTGCAGTAANTCCCGAAACGGCCGGTTCCGGGTGAGGCGGGAGCGCGAGGGCAGCGGTCTGGGCTTGGCGGAGTCCTCTGGCCGCCCGCGCGTCAGTCCATCAGTTCGTCAGTCCGTCCTTCCTCCCGTCTGCCCCTCCCGGGTCCGCGGCCGCTCAGCCCAGCCTCTAGCTGACTGCAGTTGTCAAGAGGTGCCGGAGCCGAGCTCCAGCCCCAAGCCCAGCCAATCGCCGCGCTTCCCCGAAGCGCCTCAGGACCCCGCCGAGCGGGGCGACCAGGCAGGTGCCTGCGCGGAAAAGAGAACCGGCTGGGCGGGCCCAGGCCTGGCGAGGTGGGGAAACGCCTGGATGGACCAGCTCCGGCCCGGAGCTCCAAGGACCAGCTGGACCCTGAGGAAGAGCCTGCGCCGCGACAGTGTGAGAGACCGCAGACGGGACGCAGACCGATTGCCGACCGTGACCGTGCGTCCCGCAATAGCGCGGAGGGGGTTGTCGTCTCCCAATCTAGAGTCCTCTGCGCATTAGAATTGACTCTTAATACTCCTCCTCGATAATTAATAAAGGCTAAGGAAATAAACCTTGCCTCCTTCCTCTTCCCTCTCCGCTTTTTCAAGCAAACCCCAGTTCCTTCCTGAAAGCTCCAGCAGCTTATTTGCCCGCTTCTTGAGTTCTCATTTTGTGATGCTGATCTGCCTAGAAAACATTTGTCAGTTACTTAATATTGAACGTGTTCACGGCTCTTTACTACCCCTTTTGGATATACGCTCCTTGGCAGCAAAACCTACTTCCCACCTCTTTGGTGCAGTACGGCATCCATTATCCAGACCACCCACCTCTGGAAGATCAGAATCTCCATCAACCCAGAAGCTAAGAATGCAGGACCGATTCTTCTCAAGAATGAACTTTTTACTATAGAACTCAGTTTTTCTTTCTTCCTCAGAACACCCTGCGTATTGCCTAGTTGTGTTTCTGGTTTGCAAATCCTAAGACCTGAATAAGTTTTTATCATTTATTTCTAGCCACCGCCGCCTGATTCATTTACCCTCGGTGTATAAGTAGTATCCTACAAATATACATGATGCTCATCTGGGCTGAATTAAGAAGCATTTGGGGCCTAACCGCATAGAACTAAGGAAGAATACAGTGACACAAGCCAATGAGAACCTCGTCCTCAACAAAGGCTAAAAGCCAAGCGTGAGCTGGGCCTCCCAAGTTGGGGAAATGTAAAAAGAGACTGGTAAAAATAAACCAAAAACATTTCTGGAAAGGAAGCATTTGATCCAATGTAAGATAAAAGAGGCGACAGCTTGAGGAAAAGGTTTTAAAAAATATATTTACAAATTCAGGGAAAACAATTTGAGCACAAAAGTTGAACTGCAAAACTTCAATTGCTTAGTCCCGATTAACTTATGTAAGAAAGTCTTCATTAAGTACCTTCTCAGTGATAAGTGACAGACAAATAAATATAAACACAATATTACCCCGGGTCTTGATATTAAAAAAAAACAAAAAACCTTTACATAATGTTTGAATTGTAAAAGAGTGCAGCTATATCCTAGAAATAGTTTGTCAATTATTTAGCCAGTATAGTTCACCTGAAAATCCGCTCCTCAATCTTGATTCTCAAACAGTGGCAGTTCCAAGAACCAGAACTATTTAAATATTTAGAATATTCAAATGAATCTAGAAAAAGTTACTAATTAGGGACAATCTGACAAACATTTGACGACCTGTTAGAAGCAGAGTGCTATAAAAAATAAAGAACCTTCTAGTTCTACATTATGGTTTTGGCATTCATTTAAGCACAAAATAAAGTGTTTGCCTATGTCTTCATTTAAACCTCACAATCTCCTTCAATCCCTTTGCCGCAACGATCCGTTATATCCGAATGAATATTTCCATCCTCTGACTGCAGATGGAAACTTCCAGAAAGGAAGTTTAGGAGAGCAGATGTGTATTTTTGTGTTTTTCAAGAATGAATAACAATAGGAAACTTTTATACATAAAAATGTCATTTATATACAAAGCAGCTCAAATTGTTATTAAATGCATAAAATTGTCAAAACATCAACTTTTTGTTTTTTTGTGGGTTTCTGACATATTTTGGAAAAAAAAAACTTGAAATCAATTGACGCAGCGAAAGAGTTAAGATGCCTGTTAATTATTCCCATTTAGAGATTATGGGAAATAAACTGCCCAAGGTCAAACAGCTGATACGTAGCACAACCAAAATTCTAACTATTCTGACTCTTAAAACCTTCTTTTTCCATTCTACCTCACTGTGTAACAACTGGAAATTTAGCTTAAAGAAATTGGACTTTATTCTGACGAGAGAATATAAGGTCTTATTCATGTTTATATCCCCCATGGTCTATGGCGTAGTGTCATTTGCATCTCAGTTTTCAATAAATAGTAATCAGAATTGTTAAAAGCAAATACACAACCATTATATTTCCAGAAAAGGAGGATGGGATGGGAAAAGAACCAGGCACTGAAATACAAAACATCTGGTACATCTTACCAGTAGTACACTGACAAATGCATTGATTGTGTATTTGCTTCCTAATGTAACATCAGGTTTTACACCACAACCTTAATAGCTGTTAGCCTAAGGTATCACCTTTCCTTCTGTACTGAACCACACTGGTTAAGATTAGATCTTCTTGTCTTTCACTCTAGTTGCAGCAAAGCAGAGAATTGTTCAGAAAGGACAAGGCTTTCTTAGATGAAGGACTGGCCTTAGATCCCGAGGTACTGCTTCAATCATTCACCAAATATTTATTGAGTGTGTCTACTGTAGATCAGGAACTAGGTTGGGCACCATTTGAAAATGCAGGTTCTAATTTGACAGAATGACTCATGGTGCCTTGTGACATAAATACCTACAGGCTAAGGTGGGCCCCTTTTAATATGATTCTCAAATCTCACTTCTAAATAGGAGAATAGGTTTTTAGTTTTCCCCAAATAGTAGAAAGGAGTCTGAATACAAGCCTAAATTAGGAAATCTTGCCCCAACCTGTTCAGAGGAAGTTCAGTGGGGATAAGGAAACTTGTTTTAAAAGCTCCTCTCGCATTATTAGAACACATACTCATAAATACACACACTGAAGAGTTGTATGCTTCAGAGCCGGCAGTGCCCTGGCTCTGGGAGAATAAAGTACCACCACTAGTGCTTCTTCAAACATGTTCAAGGATTATGTAGATAAAACACCAACTCTACCAGCGCTCCTATCTAGACTCTAAAAAAAGCTTAAATTATAAGTGGATGGGTAAACCTAGAAAGAAAAATACCTTCTTTTTCAACATAAAAGAGATGTGCTTTTGTTTATATTAATATCTGGGTGTTATATTAAAAACAAAAATTTTTTAAATATTGTTTTGGGAAAAATAGCCCATTTTAATTAAGTCATTGAAATACTTCAAACTCCCCCACCCCCACCCCAAGGAAACTATGTTAGGAAATGTTAATAATACATAAAACACATTAATCAAGCATAATTTTGGATGGGTGTTTTAGAATAAGGTTAGTAAGTTTCTAGTAATAAGCTTGAGGCTATTTAGTAGAACTTGCTATAAAGATGGAAGAAAACCACAAAAGTCAGATAGGTGTCTTATTTTTTAATTAGCTCATGTGCCCACAAAAAACTTATAAAAATCCTATTTCAGAAAAATTAATTATGGTATTAGCATTTCTTTTAGAGTTTCATCAGTAGATAAGTAGGCTCTTTCCTAATAAATTTTCAGTTATTTATCTAAAATGGACACGCAAAAGCAAATGACAAAATGATTTCTATTTTAGCATCTGTTCTTCTTATCCTAAAAGAATAACCAAAGGGGGCCGGCCGAGTGGCGCGATGGTTAAGAACTCGCTTGGGATGCCAGAGGGCCCCGNGCAGAAGACTTTATCCAGGTCAGAAATCTGTTAATGCTACATAGTGCTACTAAGATTACAGTGATTGTAAGCACATTAAGACAATGGTCTATGTCCATTTCTATTTCCCCAACATTTAGCTCAGTACCTGACACAAAAGGTTGAATAGATGTATCTGTATGGTTGGAATGACTCCAGTTTACAAAATAGGAATACCTGCTTTCTGCCAAAAATTGCTGTTCTGTCCTAAATCCTTATCTTTTAAGCAAGATGACTTTCCAAGTTAATATGCTCTACAGGACTAATTTCTAGAAGTTGCGAAACTTCCCTCCCAGATTTTTTAAGAGTAGTGGAGTGGCGACTCGTAGTCCATGGGTAACAGGCACTTCAGGCTTCATCTTGCACAAATCTATTTAATGGAGATGGGCAGCAGGATGTTTCACTATGATTGATTAGTCCAGGAGCCTGTCAACACTAGGTGGAGAAGAAGCCACCGTCGTTCTTTCGGGAGTAGCCTCCATTGGTAGCTGCAGTGTGAGGGGACACTGCGGAGAAAAGAGAAAGAGAGCTGTAAATTTCAGATCCTTAGCCTTTTCTGGGAACCTGTAATCACCTATACATTTATGGGTACTATGGAGAAGGTTCTTGTAACAGCTGGAAAACTGGCATATAGAGGACAAATGGGAGGTAGCTAAAGGCCTTCTACTCCCAGGCTTTTCCACTTCGCTGGGAATTTTTATCTCCTAGACCGAAGACTGCATTAGAGGCTCTGAAATATTGAATGCATCCCATAGTCAGCATGTCCCCTGATATTAGTCTATGTGCCAACTTAATCACTGCTGTTCCAAGACCCTCAGTTATCCCCCATATTCCCTAATAGCCAATCACTTCAACTCCCTGGTTCCTGGGTCCATTTAGAAAAACTCTTGCACCACCCATCTACCCTTCTAACCCTTACCTATGGAACCCTGGATGCTGTGGATGGAGTCCTTCTTCGGGTTGATCCAGTGTCTGATGTTAGCTAGGAAATTGATGGGGGGTAGCGGAGGAGGGGCTAAAAATTCTCCAGGGAATTGAATCTTGATGATTCTAGATGGTATGGAGAAGAACGGGAGAATGCAACCAATTAAAAGGAGAAAAATGAGGGAAAGACAGTTGCATGCAACCTCAAAAATGAAGTAACCCAAGGCCCTTTTTTACCCTCTGGAATTAATGGAAAAGTTTGTTTATACAGACAAGCACAATCTTGGAGGCTCTCTGTTCATTTTAGATAATAAAAAATATTATTTACAGGTACAGATGTAAAACATACAGAAATCTGAACACAAATAAGTACCTATTGTTATTTCCCAGGTGACACTTTACTATATATGATTAGATGGCATTGTTCTCAGTGGGGGAGGCTGCACCTCCACCACTTACCTGTGGGTAACCTGGGTGGTCTCCGGGTGTGTCAGGATCTCACTTTTGTTCTTGAATGCCTCTAGGTGGTGATTGTACAAGGCTGCTAGGCGGAAATCCAGGTCATCCTTTGGTATCTACAGAGGAAGTCAACTTCAGGGTTAACTCACCACCTCTGCCCCACCTCCATGTGCTCTAGTCAGGTTCTGTTGGGCTCTACTCTTCCCCCAAAGCCGACCAAACCCTTTTTGGGCCTGAGATCCACCAACTCCTTACGCACCAAATGGCACATGATGACTTGTCAATATGGAGTTCTCTCGTGTTTGGATCTAAGGAGTAGTGAACTGTCTCTGACTTGGGCTTAATGGGTTTTGCCTCATTCGTGGTTATATTCAGCCTTTGTTTTAATCAGAAGACTGAGAAGTTTGATGAGAAAATTATTTGCTCCAGATAATTGACTGAAGCAAACCCCCAAGCCTTCTGACTTCCCAGACTTCAGATAAATCGGTATTGGTTTTAGATTTGGTAGTATCTTGGATTGGGGACCAAAGGAAAGATACTAACGCAGTCAGGGACAGACTACCTTTCAAAGAAGATATGAAGGAGTCCAAAGTAGATGTAAAGAGAAATATCATTTCAATGTTAGGCACCTCAGGTTTAAAAAAATGAGCATCCCGCCTTATGGAGGTGATCGTGGGAGTTGAGCTGAGCCGACTCCAGGGTTGCTGTAGCTGAGCAAGGTGAGCCGGGTTCTTACATGGCAATTTCTGTAAAAGAGAAACCACACCCAGGACCTGGTTACCTGGTTATCTGGTTACAGGTCCTTGCTGCTGTGGTAGCTTCAGCGACATCCATTCCTTAGTCCATCCTATTTGTTGTTGTTTATTGTTTAAAATTATTTTTTAAGTATAGTTGGTATACAGTATTATATTAGTTTCAGGTGTACAATATAGTGATCCGACATTTTTATACCTTACAATGTAAACACTCCACTAATTCTAGTAATCATCTGTCACTGTGCAAACTCATCACAATATTATTGACTACATTCCCTTTCACCTTTTCACCCATCCTCCCATTCCCCTTCCCTCTGGCAGCCATCTTTTTGGTCTCTGTTTCTATGAGTCTGTTTTTGTTTTATTCTTTTTTTTTTTTTAAGATTCCACATATAAGTGAAACCATATAGTATTTGGCTTTCTGTGTCTGACTTATTTCACTTTACATAATACCCTGTAGGTCTATCCATGTTGTTGCAAATGGTAAGATTTTGTTCTTTTTTATTGCTGTATAATATTCCATTGTGTATATGTACCACATCTCCTTTATCCAATCATCTATCGATGGACACCTAGTTTGCCTCCATATCTTGGCTATTATAAATAATGCAATGAACACATAGGCGCATATATCTTTTCAAATTAATGTTTTCATTTTCTTTGGATAAATACCCAGAAGTGGAATTGCTGGGTCATATGACTGATCTGTTTTGAGTTTTTTGAAGAACATCCTATTTTAATTCAATCTCAGAGGAATATCTGCAAAGAGAAGAATGATGTGGGGCAAGACTCCACAGACTTTTGATCCTTCTAAGTCTTCAATCTTAGAACTGACAGAAATGGGCCAGGAATACAGACAAAGGGGTGAAGTGGGAGTGGGGGGGCGGGCAAAGGGGAGGAGCAGATAAAAAAGATTATGAGTTCAGGTTTAGACATCCTGAATTTGAGGAAAAGGTAAGACATCCTAATGCAATTAACAAGTAGAAAACTGGAAGTGTGCAACTTATTGGAGGCGAGCTCAGGACAAGTAATAGAAATGTGGGGGTTGTCCACATGAAGTAGTGGTCGAAGCCTGCAAACAGGAGTGTGGCCCAAAGGGAAGAAGTGGTTCATGTCTGCACGATATAACGGGGGAAGGAAGGGAAAGGACACTAAGAGGAAACCAGAGACAGGGGAATCAGGAAAGTGCAGTGTCTAAGCAGGTGAGAAAAAGATTTCAGTAGGCAGGGAAGGGTCATTGTGACTGCAGGAACATCAAAGAAAAGGTCTATTGGACAGTCAATCCTCTAAATAAAACTTCACAAGTATGGATGTGAAAAGCATATAACTGATTTCTTCATTACATATGAAATGTCATTGTTTCCCACTGTGTCCCTGGTACCTAGCACAGCGATCTAACTGGTGTTCAGAAATGAAGCATTGGTTGAATCAATGACCGAATTCCAGTGAGTATAACTATAACCTAGTAGAAATGTCATTCAACCTATCTATCTGATGTTGGAACTATCTCTCCCCCTCCCCCATATATGACAAAGTGCTGTGTGATTCAGCTCAATTATATATTAATTGAACAGTATGTACCAGGCATTGTGCTATCACCAAGAAAGATGCAGAAGGAAACAAGAAAACTACAAATATACATGATGCAAGCATAGGCAGCTCTCCCATTCCTTGAAGGCTACATAAGCCTCATCATCTCTATCAGCAGAAGGACAAGATTGTCTTCCACAATAAAGTCAAGCACGGATGCCATTTTCACATCCACTTTCATTCCACTTTAGAGAAAGGGAAGTCTCTTTTACTAAAGAATAACCCTTCTACCGTGAATCCAGCCCTCCCCTGTGCCTCAGAGACCTGCAGCATCCTGGCATCCCCTGCACCCAGCTTCTCTCTCATTCTTTTATCACCGTCTAGCTACCACTATCAGCTTCCCTAAAGAGCCAGACTTTTCTTCAAGATTCATCATTTACTATCTTTACTTCCTTCCCCTTTCCATCCCCTCTTCAGTCTGGCCTCTGCCACAAGCACCCACTGAAACTGCTCTTGCTGGTGACCAATGAGCTTTGTGGCTAGACCAGGTGGATCCTTTCCAGACCTGATCTTATTTGACCTCTGCAGTTTCTGGCACCATGATTCTGATTCTCGCAAATGTTCTCTCAACCTCCTGTGGGTCCAGCTCCTCTTGGCTTTCCTCCTGCTTCTAGCTGTTATTTCTCAGCTCCTTCCTTCTCTGCCCCTTACACAGTGGCATTCCCCAGGGGGTTAGTTTCTGCTTTTCTTACGCTCACATTTGCTGGATGAGCTCATTTCCTCCTATGGCTTCACCTACCATGTGAACACTGTGGCTTCCATGTAAACATCTTCAACCCAGAACTTTCAGCCATGCTGCCTACTATTCATCCCCACTTAAATGTCCCACAGGCATCACACAAGCAACACCTGCATAATTGATCTGAACACCTCTCTCCAAACCTGCTTCCCCTGGATGCCTCGTTCAGTTAATGGCATCAATTAAGCCCTCAGAAACTTAGGAGTTACCCTAGACACATCCGCTCTTTGGGCTCATATCCAGCCAGCCACAAAGTCCCATCAGTTCTGCCCTTTGCCTCTCTCACATCTGCACCTTATCACCATCCCGTGCATCACTGCCTTAGGTCCATTCTTCCTCCTGGAGATTGCTCCCTCCTGAGGCTCCTGCCTCCTGGCTGAGCCCTTTTGTGCCCCTCCCATCCTATCCACTGCCACTTTTGCTTTTTAACACCCACCTATTGTGTCACTCTAGTGCTTAAAATACCAACATGATTCTCCAGCACCGCCAGGATGAAATCCCAGCTCACAAGCATGGTGTACACAGCACCCCAGCCCAACAAGACCACTTCTCCAGCTCCTGCTCGCTCCACTCCTCCACCTCACACCGACACTCCAGCCATTCTGGACTCTTTGGCCCCTAAACAAATCACCCTCCCTCTCCTTTCCAGGTGTATGTATACTCCCGTTTCCTTTGCCTTCAATGTCTGATTCCTGTTTCCTGCTTCCTAACTCACATTCCACCTACTCCCTCACCTGGCCCAGCTAATTCCTATTTCATTGTCAAAACTCACCTGCTCTGGGAAGCTTTCCTTTAAGCGCCCAGTTCTCCTGACACACTACATACAACTGTCACAACACATGCTATTGTGGGAGCATTTTTGCTACTGAGATATCGGTCTGGCTTTTCCACTAGAGTTTCTTTAGAGCAGGAGCTATACCTAATTTATATATCCTCAGTGTTTAGCAGAGTACTTGGTAGTAAATAATAAATATTGAATAAACAAAAGAAAGCTCTTTGATTTTGTCATTAAGCCACAATTACTATTTAATTCACCTTATTTTGCACCACTTCAAGCATCCCAAACACTTCTACCAGATAAAAAGATCATCTAAATTCCCAAACCACTGGCACACATACACAAACACATTCCAGCATTAACCAGAAGACAGAGATGTATAAAGCAGGACCTGATGGCTTTTCGAGGATTCTCACTCCATATCTCATTTATCTTCAGAGAACAGTTTTCCAAACAGGGCCAAGGGTGGCTTGGTAGAACCTGGACCTGTTTAAGCCCCATTATACCAATCATTGCTATGGGCAGCGAGAGCCACTTATTCTTCTGGACTAGAGCTCTACTTCCCTCTGCTTAAAAGCACCTCTGAAACGTTAGCAGACCTGAATACGGGGACGTGGAGTCAGGTAGAAAACAGACTTCTGTGGTACCTGACTCTGTCCTCATCAGAGTCCTTTCAGTTACCATCTCTGCCCCTCACGCGGACGGAAGAGTGCCATCGACCCTGCTGGGGCTCTGCTCAAGAAACCACAGTACCTCGGAAGCCCGCAGTTTTCCCACGTAGGAACCATCGTTATCCAACGTAGGGTGCTGGAAAGGGTCTCGGGTGGGAGGCATCGTAAAATGCCCAGCGAGTCGCTCTTAAGAGGGATGGGAGGCCCGCACAGCCTCACATTAACTTTGCACGCGGAGGATCCGGGTCCCAATTGTTTGGAACGCCCACTTTCGGTTGCCAGGCAACTGTCCTACTGTGTCTGTGACTGAGGTGAATTCCCTCCGAGAAGAGCGCCACCTGGCGGTTCAGCGCGGGAGGCACCTCGGGAGGAAGCTATAATGCCAGGAAAATAGGGAAAGCGCCGCGGAGCGTACCCAGGACCTTGAATTTGCACTCGTGAGCACTAGGATAAAAAACGCCAGCCTCCCGGCGTGCAGGACTTCTGCAAGAGATTTCAGTTGACGAAAGAAGTGCTAAAAGATTACTCAGAAATTTCCTTTTCTCTCGCATTTAACAAAAGGGTTTTTCAAAGCAATGACAGAATGGGGATGTCCAGAGACTAAGAACCCACGTGTGGTGCTTGGAAAACTCTCCTTGCTTAAACCCGGTTTAACTATACGAGCCTTAAGGCTTCGCATCGAGCGGGTTGTAAAGGCACGGATGGAACTGGCGGGACGGAAGTAAGATCTCCAGAAACGGCTGCCTTTGCAGTAGGTAATACCTACCGGGGCCAATTTTCTAGGCTGTAAGTTCTCGAAAAGAGGTGACATCTCACTCTTTCTATCGCTTCATACACAAGGAGGTGCTTAGTAAGTATTTGTCTAACACCACATCTGCAAAATTAGAGATGCTCATAAGTAGGCCATGGTCCGAAAGGGCAGTGGGAAACATGAATTTGGTGGTGATGCTTCTACCGCGTTCTTTAAAAGAGCTCTGTGCCCGCCTGTTGGGCCGGTTGCAGACCCCGGGCGCGTGCACGCCCACGCGGCGCGCGCCAGTGGCGGCGGCTGCCATGGCGACCCGCAGGTGAGCGGCAGAGCATCTCGTGGTCCCTACCCCACCCGCGCGGAGGCAAAGAGGAGGCGGTTGCCAAGGCGACGTGGGTAGGAGGAGGAAAAGAGGAAAGAGGAAAGATGGGCGGCCTTGGCGTAGCCGCAGGGAGGTGACTGAAGCGAGCCCAGCCCCTTGCATCCTCCCCCTGTGAACCTCCCTCCCCTTTTTTTCCGTCTTCTGCCAGCGCGGTAGCGGCAGCCGCAGCACCTGAGCCGCTGCTGCGACTCGTTGTGGACAACGCTATGGCTGAGCCTGGGCGCAGCCTCCAGCCCTCTGCCCGAGGCAGGGGAAGAACTGAGCGGCGCACACTCCGGCTTCTGCGGCTGCTGCTCTGGGTTGGGACCGCTTTCCAGGTGACTCAAGGAGCGGGACCGGAGCTCCATGCCTGCAAAGAGGTACTGTCCTCCCCGACCCGACTCCACGTTAGTCAGAAACATCTTGGAACCCAGCGGAGACCTTGGGGACCTAGGCACAGACAGTTTAGTTTCAAAGGCCACGGAGTTTAGGCTTCTTTGGGGATGGGGGGGAGGAGCAGATTGGCGTCATGGAGAGGCCAGCCCACTAGAAGACTCATGAACTAGAACAGATCATCCTTACGGTTTGGGCTGCTGGACTCGGGGAGACAGGTCCCAGCTCTAAGGAGCCCAGGAGGGATCTGGGTCCCTGGACTCGGGAATAAGGGAAGGAGAATGACTGAAATTACCTTAAAAGTGGTTAAAACCAAAAGATTATAAGCAGAGGGGCAAAATAGAAAGTGGGAAAGGGGAAGAGGGGTGAGAAAGGAGTTAGGAAGGCCAGAGGAAAGTGGTGGAGTGAAGGGGAAATCCTTGTGGTTTTATCATGGCTTCAAAAAAGGAGATTGAAGGGACTGAAAGATCCATCACCTGTCTCCCCATGTGCTTTGCTTAGTATACCTGACAGCACAACCCCCAGCTTTGACCCGGCTTTGAGTTCTGTACTCTCTCACTTTCTGCCAATCTCTATTTTCCTTCTCTGGACCTCTGCTGACATATGTCATAAGTCTTTTTCAAGGTGTTTCTAAAATGCTCATAATTCAAACAATAGGTAGTGAATGTCTTCCAGCCAAAAAAAAATGTCTTTTGAATGTGTGGGGTTTTTTTTTTTGAGGGACACAAAAAGGTATTAAGGAGTAACAAAACTCAGTAGTCTGTATAGTATTGAAATAATATTTGGTTGTGTTCTGAGTAACTTTTTTTAACCATATGACGGAGGCAGCAAAAAATATTTACAAGAACTGCATTGGGGAAGGCAAAATAAAAGTCGTTTTGCTTATCTATGTGAAATGTAAACAACTTTATAATACATCAAGACTCTAGCCCTGTAAAAGTAACCCCAAATGTTATACTTGGCTAAGGTTTTGAGAGGTTGAAATTTTTTTTTAAGTTGTCAGTGTTAACTGGTTAGCAGCAACAACCCCATCCCATATGGAAGTATATTATTATGAAGATGTTCCAACCATTAGACTGCTTACAACATAACAGATCATGAAGAAGTAGGAAGGGGGAGAGGTGAGAATTTTTGTGTGAATAAAGATGTTTGATTTCATTCATGAATATGACACAATTAAGTGACCCCTGTCCGTGGGACTTTTGGTAACTTTTATCAGTCCCAATGACTGCCTGCCCTGGGCCATCTACACTTCCACCCAGCTACTTTATGACCTGTTTAGAGATGGCTGGGGACAGGATGATTTTGTCAGTGACTGTGACTTACTGGCCTTGGTGGCTTGTGGTCTCTAACCAACCAAGATAATCAGTTCAAACAAGTCCACTTGCCTAAGAATCCAACATGGGAGTCTCCTGAGTGAAAGGTAAGACTCTTACAATCCAGCTACCACTTCTTGTTGAGGTCTCCGTCAACAATGGAAAATGTGACATTTAAGAAATTTAACACTTCATATCATCTTGGTTTGGAGGGAGGGAAGAATATTGACACTTGAGAACTCTAACTTGTGTATAAATTTTGCCTTTAGTCCTTTTTAAATGACTGACAGTTGCCTAAGCAAAAGGCCTTACCACAGAGAGTGAGCTTAGGACTGTAGAAAGCTGTGGACCTCAACATAGCAGGGTTCCAGTCCCTGCCTCTTACTTACCACCCAGTGTTTGGAGCTATAGAATAGGTATTTCAATAACACCTACCTCAAAAGAATTTTTTTGAGGACTGAAAGGAAAAATACAAATAAAACACAAATTAGAGTTACCTAACCCCCTTTCCTGTTCAGCTTCTTTACCAGTAGATCCACACCCCTTGCCAGAGTGAAAGTGTCTTAGGACTCGTGCTCATTGACCATGGGCGTCAGCAAATCCTGTTTACTTTCTCCTTGAGCAAATAGTGGCCGCTGAACACACTTGACTTCAAAACAGTAAGGAAGAGAATAAACCCATTATTATAATATTCTTCATTTGGCAATATGAACTGACCCAACAAGTTTCGGGGCTTCCAGCCCTAAATGGTGGAAAACCAATTCAGGGTAGAGTAGCCCTTCTCTGTTCTTAATCTTCACGTGAATTTCTTGTGAGTCTACATTAGGTGTAGGGACACATACCCTGCAAGGCTGACCTTAATGACAATGCTGTGCAAGCCTTGTTTCCGAAATCTGAGGCATCTTTCTGGTCTAATCAGGAAACAGATAAGTTTAGCTTGTGGCCTAAACTTGTGGCAGAGAATAGCAAGTTCTAGATCGTTAAACGTGAGCTGGGGCTTGGCATTCCTTCAACAGCTTTCCAATCATCCACCAGTGGAATCAAACATCCTGTACAGTGCTTGTCTTCATGAATCATTTCTTTAGCCCTCCCTGTGCTAGCCCAGGCTAAGTGCTGAGAGCCAAAGAGCATTTCCTATAGCACTATGAATCTAACTAAATCAAATGAGAGAGGAGCAGAAACCTGCCTTTAACAGATCTGCCTCATCTGAGGCTTCAGTGCTAATTGCCCCCAAAGGGACTTCCCAGTCTGTATTGAAAAGCCTGTAGGGCTGAGGAATCTGGCAGACATGGATTGGAATAAGATTTGTTGAATGAGTGATGACTCTGCCACTTAGTAAGGATGCTGCTACAAGCAAGTTAATTAACTTCTGACAGCCTCAGATTCCTGATCTGTAAAATGGGGGTGGTCATACCTACCTCATAGGCTGTTGTGAGGATTAAGTTAAATTAGATAACACTTGTGACTAGTACATACCCTCAACATGTCATAGGTGGTTAAGAAATATTGGTAGGCAGAAAAGCTAAGTATAAAAATAGTGACATATAAATGATGATGAAAGGTTAACATGTGGTAACCAATGCAGGAGTGGCAATATAGAGGTTGATAGGAAAGGAAGAAAACTTATTTAAGCAGTTGGCACTTGACCTGCTTTTGGAATAATCAGTAGAATTTCAATGAGCACAGATGGAGGAAGGGTGCTTTCTAGATAGAGGAGCCTGAGGAAAGGTCCACAGGTAGAAAATATAAAAATGTAAAAGACCCTGGGAATTTCAGACACGCTGGCTGAAATGTAGAGTAAGTGTGGGTTACACTAGAAATCAACCTTAGAAAGTCAGAGACTAAGTGGAGAATCCCTAAAGGATTTCTAGTGTGGACGGCGGCCTGCTCAGAGTGGATTAGCATGAATATGAAATAAGCATGGTTGCTGTAGGCCAGAGCTGAGAGCAGAGAGATGAAAGCAAGCGGACCAGTTCAGAAGATTTTACTGAGGTCAAGGAGAAGGTTAACAAAGGGACTGCCCTGGGATGGTGGCAGTGGGATAAATGGGAAAGGATAGATATGAAAAGTATGCTGAAGGTAGAGGTTAGAGGATTTGGCAATTGATTGAAAGTGTATTGTGATGGAGAGGGGCAAGCTGAGGGTTTCTGTTAGGATTTCAGAGTGGGAGGAGCTACTAGCCAGGATGCAAAAAGAACAGCTTTGGGAAAAGAGTAATCGCCTTTCATAGTTCTGACTTCTCTGGGATCAGCTCTGTACGAGGTGGGAAAAGTCCTGAGAACAAGGTGGGAAAAGTCCTGAGACTTTGGCATACTCGCTCCCAGTACGATCATAGCTTCTAGACTTTTACAGTCCTTTCTATATTTGTTCTAACACATCATTCAAGGTTTGAACTCCACAAGGAAATGATCTAGAAAACAGTCAGGACCCCTGAGCTTTCAGGAAATATTTCACCAAAAACAAAAGATTTAAAATGACTGCTTTGGTTTGGGAACCCTCAAGGTTGGATGTTTAAAACATCCTGCCATATTTGGTGAAGAGAAAATTAAAATTCTCCATTTATCATGACGTACTTATAGGGTAGCAAGATGGACTGTTTTTGTTTACAATCAGAGAGGGTTAAAGAATAATAGATTCTTGAGATCTGAAGACATCTAAAGAGTCATTTTGTCTATTCTCCTGTCTCAAGGTACAAGTAACACCAAAACTGAACGAGTCTAATAATCACCTGACTTTACTTTAAAAATACTTTAAAAATTACAAAAGTGACACATTTCATTTGCAGAAAAATTGGAAAAATATAGGTAAATAAAAAGATGGTTAAAATCACCTATTATTGTATCACTCAAATTATCTTTTTTTTTTTTAAGATTTTATTGGGGAATTGGGGGAGGGGAATAGCGCTGGGGAATCGGGGGAAGGGGAACAGACAAGTTGCTGTCGTTTTGTTCTTCAGTCTAGTTGTGGAAGACGTTGTTTCACTGGCCCATGTTGGTATTATCATTGCGGTCTTCCCGGGTGAGGCAGATCAGTCGCCGGCCTCTGGATGGCCGCTCACAGCGGCTCTTGGCAGCTGACACTGGCTGCTGGCCTCTCACACTGGCTGTCAGCCATACACGGTAGCTTACGGCAGCCCAACTGCAGCAGGGGCTGCAGCCTATGCCGTCGCTGGCAACTCACAGCAGCCCAGCTCCGGGTCGAGCTGTTGTTCACCATCTTAGATGTAGAGGGCAGTGTCACTGGCCCCATTGGGGGATCTGAACCGGGGCCCTGCTACTCAAAGCTGGCGTCCCAAACCAGCTCTTAACCAATGTGCCACTTTGCTGGATTCAAATTATCTTTTTTTTTTCTTTTTTTTTTTATTATTGGGGAATTGGGGGATGGGAACAGTGCTGGGGAATTGGGGGAAGGGGAACAGATAAGCTGCTGTCATTTTGTTCCTCAATCTAGCTGTAAAGAACCTTGCTCCACTGGCCCAAGTCGGCACCATCATTGCGCTCTTCCCGGGCGAGGCAGATCAGTCGCCGGCTTCTGGACGGCCACTCACGGTGGCTGCTGGCTACACACGGTAGCCCATGGCAACCCACTGCCACAGGGGCTGCAGCCTATGCCGTTGCCGGCGACTCGCAGCAGCCCAGCTCCAGGTTGAGCTGTTGTTCACCATCTTAGCT